TTGAAGGCAGTTTTCCCTATATTTTAACCTTTGTATTAGTTTTCTAGGCTGCCATAAAAAAGCCCCACAAACTGGGAGGTTGAAAACAACAGAAATTTACTGTCTAGAGGCCACAATCCCAAATTAAGGTGTGGGCAGGGCCACACTCCCTCCTAAGCCTCTGGGCAGCATCCTTCATTGCCTCTGCAGCTTCTGGGTACCAGGCGTCCCTTAGTTTTGGGGCAGCGACACTCTCATGTCTGCCTCTGTGTTCACATGGCCATCTCCCTTCATATGTCTATGTTTCTTTGTCTGTTTTCCTCCTATAAGGACACCAGTCATATGGGATTCAGGACCCACTCTATTCTAGTATGACCTCATTTTAATTTGTTTACATAGGTAAAGAGCCTATTTCTAAATAAGATCCCACTCATGGGTATTAGGGGTGAGAAATCCAACATGTCTTTTTGGGGTACAATTTAAGCCATATCGCCTCTACATTTCCACTTTGTTCTGTTGTTACCAAAACACCACGGGTTTGGTCTAGGTCCTGCTCCTTGCCTTTACAGAAAGCCAATCACTGAGACAACAAATATTGCCAGGGAAGAAAGCTTTAATCGGGTGCTGCAGCCAAGAGGATGGGAGCTCAAGCTCAAATCCATCTCCCTGACGGACTAAAACCAGGGGTTTATATAGCAGGAAAGAAATGTAACAATGTGTAAGAAAACAGGAACTAGGGAGGGGCAAGGAGGCATCTGGTACAGTGATCTGACTAGTTTCAGTTCTTTGGTACTTCCTGAAGGTCCTTTCCTGAGAAAGGAACTCAGATAAATACAAGTTACAGGCTTTAATAGAAGAAGGATAAATTTCTATGTTTATTCAAAAGCAACTTGTCTGTGGGACTGTTGGGCTGGTTTCACTATCATATGCTATGCTAAATATGAATAATATTTGAAGACTAAATAAATGAACACCTCATTTGTTCTGTTTTCAGGATCTGAAGCTTGTTGGAATTAGTCAACCTAAATATGCAGCAGAACTGGCTGAGAATAGAGGAAAGAATCGCTATAATAATGTTCTGCCCTGTAAGTTATTTTATCCACAGCATCTTCTCTCTTTTCCGTCAGTGGCCATCACATCTCTAACTGTAGAGGGGAGGGAATCAGTGATCCTAAGTAACCACTTCCACAACTATTCATTAGTCACCTACTTCCACAACCATCCGTTATTCACCTACTATGTGCTAAGCACTATATTTAGGTACATTATCTTTAATTTAATCCTCACAACAGCCTTATGAAGTAGGTAGTAGAATATTTGTTTTGCAGATAAGGAAAATGCACAGAGTGGTTAGGTGATCTTTCCAAGGTTACACAGGTAGTGTCGGGAAAACTAGGCTTTGTACTAGGTCTGTTTTATTGAGGGAAAAGGCCAGAGTCTGTGTTCTTAACCCCTCTGTCTCACAACTATTTCAATTCTATAATTCTGGAATGAAAGCGAGCAGAGCGAGACAGGGAGTCACACTTTTCTGTGTCCAGACACATGGGCTGAATGAATTCCACAGCTAAGTATGAATTATATTTAGCTCATTTCCTGTTTTTGAGAATGTCTGCATCTTAGTCAACAGGGATAACAGCAAATTGAGTTTAAAATGAGAATTATTTATTACATCAAACCATTAGATGAAATGTAAATACTTCTCCATTGAAAGTTCATCGTGATCACTCTTTTGGGTGGGGATTAGGGCACAGAGAGGAGCATGAGTAGACTGTAGCCATGTTCTGATGTAGCTGAAATTGATAGACTTCGCAGATAATTTTTACATCAGGACATCATCGTCTTTATTCGAAGCTGTGTTTTTCATTCCTGGACTAAAACATTAAGTTCTTTTTAAATTCAGCATTGTTCTTGGGTTCTTTCTCTCCACTTATTTCCCTGTACTTGACAAGGAATATCGGCCCATGTTCTGAGAGAAATGCTTTTAAAACTAGGCTGAGGATATTGCCCTTCTAAGGGTAATTTGGGATTATCGGCTTCTTCTTGTGAATGTCTGTGGAGATTCTCAGATCTGGAGTGGGAGCTGGGTGTTTGGGTATTGTTTTTATTGGGAAGTCTTTAGGCTGAGACTCAGGTCAGTACTAGACTTAGCATTGTTATGTTATTTTGTCCAGAGGAGGGTGAGGTAGTACAATCAGAGGTAGGGAGACTCAGGTGGTGCTGCTTCTGGCTCAGCCTGACACTCATAGTTCTAAGGTTATTATTTCATCTCTTAGGTTGGGCAAGTTTGTGTGTATGCTTTTGAGATGACAATAATACTTATAAAACATAATTCTGTGTTTTAGATCCTCCTACTGATAGTAGTCTTATACATTCAATTTATTCTTGAACTTGGTACTCTCTTTTTATAACAACTTGTTTGTATGAGAATAGAGGCTAGAGGCAGAGTAGAAAGGTTAACCTAGGGACTTAACCTGTCCTAGTGGAAGGGGCACTAAATTTGAATTTCGACTGCCCCTCACCAGATATATGGATTTGGAGAAGTCACTTAATCTCTATAACCCTCAGTTTCCTCATCTGTGAAACAGGGCAGAGGCTTGTAGGGTGGTTTTGAGGAGTAAATAAAATTGTTTAGCATATTCCCTCATGTGAACTCATGGTAGACCCCTGAGGATGCTAATAGTAACAGGTTCATTTTATGTGAGAAGGCGTCTGGTGTGGTTAAGATCTTGGGCCCTGGTGTCAGGCTGCAGGTTCAAATCCTGGCCATGCCAGTCATTAGCTCTGCTCTGTGATAGTGTGACTGCTCTGTGCCATGGTCACATAGAGTGACCATGAGGATTAAATGAGGTGGTCTATGTGAAATGCCATGCTGTGCATCTTCAAAGACACAAGTCCCAGTGTTGCCATTTTGAATTTCATTTTTTTTTTTCTGTTTTGTGTCCGGCTTTACTAAAACGTTTGCTTATAATGCGGACTTTTTCTCTTTTAATGTCACAGATGATATTTCCCGTGTCAAACTTTCGGTCCAGACCCATTCAACGGACGACTACATCAATGCCAACTACATGCCTGTAAGTTGGGGGATGGTCTCGCAGCACTGGACGGTTTTGATGAAATCTTCAGAGCGCTTTGCTTCTTTCTGTTTCTTTGAGGTTGACTATGTGTTGTTTCCTATTTTTAGGGCTACCACTCCAAGAAAGATTTTATTGCCACACAAGGACCTTTACCGAACACTTTGAAAGATTTTTGGCGTATGGTTTGGGAGAAAAATGTATATGCCATCATTATGTTGACCAAATGTGTTGAACAGGGAAGAGTAAGTATGTTTTTTGGTTTTTGAAATTTAAAATTACATTAAATTAATTGCTTTTTATTGTGGCAGAAGGGTATCTTAAAAACCACTTGTTTCTTTGAAAAAAACCTCAAACATTAGCACTTTATTCTTATAAGCTTGTTTTCTGCCTTTTTTTCCCCTTAAGAGAAACGTTTAAAAACATTCTTTAAACAATTTTGTCATTATCTTTTTTTTGTGTGGGCAAATATCAGTGTCTTCTATTTATTACGTCGTGGCTGGAGTTAGTAAGCAGGAACGGGTTAGTGCCGTGGAAAAATCTCCCAGGCTTAGTGCAAGATGCTGTTGACGGTGTGGCTCTGTCCTTCACTGGCCCCATGAACACGGACAAGCCCATCATGTCTCTAAGCAACCGGTATCTTCATCTGTGAGATGAGGGTTTCCATCAGCTCGGTGATTTTCAAACTTAGGTTCAGCACTGAGCCCCCCAGGTTTTTTTTTTTGAGACAGGGTCTCCTCTGTCAGCCAGGCTGGAGTGCAGTGGTGCGATCATGGCTCACTACAGCTTTGAATTCGTGGGCTGCCTCCCGCTTCAGCCTCCCGGGTAGCTGGGACTACAGGCATGCACCACATGCCTGGATAATTTTTCTTGTTTTTAGTGGAGGCAAGGTCTCACTGTGTTGCCCAGGCTGCTCTCAAACTCCTGACCTCAAGTGACGCTGCTTCCTTGGCCTCCCAAAGTGTTAGGATTATAGGTTTGAGCCATCACACCTGACCTGGAAACCTTTCTTTGAGCAAAATCTCAGACTTATCCCTGGATAAGCCTCAGCAGCCCCCTCTCTCCTGTAACGCCCTGAAATGCCTCTGCTGCTTCCATCAAAGATTATATATATGTGTGTGTGTGTATATATATATATATATTTTTTTTTTTTGAGATGGAGTCTCACTCTGTTGCCAGGCTGGAGTGCTGTTGTGCGATCTTGGCTTTTGCAACCTCTAACTCCCTGGTTCAAGTGATTCTCCTGCCTCAGCCTCCCGAGTAGCTGGGATTATAGGCAGGCACCACCATGCGCAGCTACTTTTTGTATTTTTAGTAGAGACAGGGTTTCACTATGTTGGCCAGGATGGTCTCGATCTCCTGACCTTCTGGTCTACCTGCCTCAGCCTCCCAAAGTGCTGGGATTACAGGCATGAGCCACCGTGCCTGGCCAAGATTTTTTATAGTAATAAAATTCTGTATTTCCATAAATTGATGTGAAGAGAACTGAAAAACACATGCTAATCTAAAAAATGCTGTGCCTTAGGAATGGGACTTAATGTTGCTTTATGAGTTGTTTTTTAGTGTAGGTTCATTGTTTGAGGAATAGGAGTTGATTTCTTAAGCCAGTGGATCTCAAACTTTAGCGTCCATCAGAATCACCAGGAGGGTGGTTCTATCCTCAGAGTTTCTAATTTGGAATTGCATTTCTGCCAGTGTTTGGATGATCCTGCTGCTGTGGCACCAGGGTGCACACTTGGAGTGGTGCTGTCTCCGGGATAGTGGGAGCCCATCAGGCATCATTTCTTTTAATGTTCTATAATTCATTATAGGCTAGCAGATGTTTATACAGCCCCTGGTGTATGTAAGGTCCTGTGCTAGGGGATGGGGATGGAGGAGGGAAAGATAACAGAGCAGTAAGAGATGACGCCTATCCTCATGTTGCTTGTGATAGAGGGTGGGCTCCTTACCCTCTTGTTGAATCAGGAGAATAGGCTATGGTAGAAATAAAAGCGTTTTTTTTTTGTTTTTGTTTTTTGTTTTGTTTTGGTTTTTTTTTGAAGACAAGAGTGTTGCTCTGCCATCCAGGCTGGAGTGCAGTGGCGTGATCTCGGTAACTGCAAGCTCCGCTTCCTGGGTTCACGCTATTCTCCTGCCTCAGCCTCCTGAGTAGCTGGGACTACAGGCGCCCACCACCACGCCTGGCTAATTTTTTTTGTATTTTTAGTAGAGATGGAGTTTTGCTGTGTTAGCCAGGATGGTCTCGATCTCCTGACCTTATGTTCCACCCGCCTCGGCCTCCCAAAGTGCTGGGATTACAGGCGTGAGCCACCACGCCCAGCAAAAGTGTTTTTTAAATGAATGTAGATAGGCTGGGTGTGGTAGCTCATAGCTATAATCCCAGCACTTTGGGAGGCCATACTGGGCAGACCACCTGAGGTTAGGAGTTTGAGACCAGCCTGCCCAATGTGGCGAAACCCAACTGTACTAAAAATACAAAAATTAGCCAGGCGTGGTGGTGCGTGCCTGTAATCCCAGCTACTTGGGAGGCTGAGGCAGGAGACTGGCTTGAATCCGGGAGGCGGAGGTTGCAGTGAGCCAAGATTGCACCATTGCACTCCAGCCTAGGCAACAGAGCAAGACTCTGTCTCAAAAAAAAAAAAAAAAGAAGACTGCAGATGAACTTTTTAAAACTGTTGAGCCCAGGGCCTTATACATGAAACATTCTTATATATCTATCTGTTAGACAAACAAAAATGGCATAATTACATTAATGGAGAACATGAAGATGAATTTAAATGGTGTCTTGTTCATCTAAAATCAAGATTGAAGTGAGTGTTACTGACCCTGGGTGAATGGGGAAGGGAGTGTATTTTCTGCACTAGATTCTCCATTATATGTTATTTATTCCCTGTAACAACCCTGTGAGGTATTACGATTTCATAGATGGGGGAACTGAGCCTTGGAGAGGTTAAGAACTTGCCCACAAGGTAGCAACAAAAACAAAAATACACCTGGTAAGAGGCTGAGCTGGGACTCAACTCCCTGCCAGTGTGTATTCAGATCCTGGGTTCTTTCTTCAGAACCTGGGTCTTTGAAGAAATACAGATGCCGCAGCCAGAGTCCGAATCTCTGGAGGTAGAACCCAGGCATTTCTTTTTAAACATGACAAGGCCATGCACAGAGGCTCAGGCCTGTAATCTCAGCACTTTGGGAGGCTGAGGTGGGAGGATCACTTGAGGCCAGGAGTTCAAGAGCAGCCCGGGCAACATAGTGAGACACCCCCATCTCTACAAAAATACAAAATAGCTGGGTGTGGTGGCACATCCCTGTAGTCCAGGCTACTCTGGAGGCTGAGGTGGGAGGATCCCTTGAGCTGGAGAGATTGAGGCTGCAGTGAGCCATGATCGTGCCCTGTACCCCAGCTTGTATGACAGAGTGAGACTGTCTCAAACAAACAAAAAACAAAACCCCAAAACAACTCAGACTTCTCAGGTGAGTCAGATAATCAATTAGCTTTGAAAACTACCAGCAGCAGAGCACACCTTAGAATGTTGAGAGCGTGTGTGTCTGTGTGTCGTCTTTTGCCAAATGGGGATTCAGATATTCTTGGAGAGCAGGCGTTTCCTGGTTATTTCTGCTCACATCTGTCCACCAACTTTATAGAAATCAAAGACCCCAGAATGATTTAATTTGCTTTTCTTTATTGGTGTGTGTATTTGTATTGCAACCAATGTATATCTGAAAGCCTTGGGAAAAAGTCCTCATTTCTTCCAGCTGTCTGGGGTTATGGGAGAGGATGAGGTCAGTGAACAGTTGTGGAGTGGCGACTCTAAGGGCACAGGGAGCTGGATAGGGACGGTGTCCCAGGTCAAGGACCAGCTGCTGCTCTGCTCTAAATCAGTTTTCATGCTGAAAGCTGGGCCTGGTGTAGGCAGATCTGATTTTTAAAGAGAAAATAAGTCTGGATTTTTATGAGGAATTTTAAGAGTTAGCAAGAATTGTAAATTAAAATAAGAAAAACAATTCTGACAGGCGCTGTGGTGTGCCCATAGACCCAGCTACTCGGGAGGCTGAGGCATGAGGATTGCTTGAGTGCAGGAATTGGAGGCAGTCGTGTGCTGTATTATCTCATTTGTGAATAGCCACTGCACTCCAGCCTGGGCAGCATAGTGAGACCCTGTCTCTAAAAAATAAAACAATTCGAAGAGTCAAACAAAACCCAACTAGAAGGTCTGATTCCGTCTCTGATGCCAGTTTTCAATAGCTAGTCTCCCTTGTGAGGTTTTAGTGATGGCAGATGGCACGATCTGAGTCTTCTTATAAAAATGCAATTTTGTTCTAGACCAAATGTGAGGAGTATTGGCCCTCCAAGCAGGCTCAGGACTATGGAGACATAACTGTGGCAATGACATCAGAAATTGTTCTTCCGGAATGGACCATCAGAGATTTCACAGTGAAAAATGTAAGTAAGAAGTCAGGATCAGTCGAGCTCATGTAATTACTATATGTTAATTTGGGGGTGATAGGTTTTAGGTTGATATTAACTCATATGTTTTCCTATGCAGTGAGAAATGTTTTGCTTCCTTCCTTTCAGAACAGAACAATCCATATGCATGTATACTCCAAGGCAACCCCTTGACTTTTCTGGGAAACTTACTTTCTTGGGAATTTCCTAAGTTATTGCTGAATAAAATGAATCTTAAGAGCATGGCTCTGCATCAGGAGCTCTTTCCTTTCTTTCCACTTCCAGGTGACTTGCTCATAGATTTTATAGAACAAACCATAGCCTTTTGGATTATTTGGTTAGAAATATGGCATCAGGAGCGGCTACTTGCTCTTAGGAGTAATTGATAACAGTTACATTAATAGGATTCCAGGGCTTATGCACATGGCCTCCCTTCCCCTCAAAATTTACAAAAGCCAATCCAATTAAATTGTGCAGGCATTCCAGGAAGTCAAGTTTATGTGCCTTTTTCCTTTTACAAGGATGCTTTGAAAATAGAGGCAGTGCCATGAAGCAGCGTTGGTATCTGTTGATGGGTGTGTGCATTGGCGTAACTCTTTGCTGTTTATATCACAGGCCTAAAAATGTCTGTTCTCTTTGATTTGCTGGCTCAAAGTTTGAGACTATCCTAAGGAAATAATCTGAAATGCAACAAAAGGCTTATTCAGAAAGACGAGTCTCAGCATTATTTATAATAGAGGAAAACTTTGGAAACCACGCAGACATCTAGCTTTTGTAGAATGGATAACTCAACTATGACTCGCCTGCTTATAATATCATTATTCAGCTGTTAGAAATGATGGGCCAGGCGTGCTGGTTCATGCCTGTGAGGCTGAGGTGGGAGGATCGCTTGAGCTCAGGTTTGAGACCAGCTTGGGCAACATGCTGAAACCCCGTCTCTACAAAAACAAAGCAAAACAAAACCCGAAAATTAGTCAGGTGTGTTAGCATACACCTGTAGTCCCAGCTACTCGGAAGGAGGATGGCTTGAGCCCAGGAGGTCGAGGCTGCAGTGATTGTGCCCATTATACTGCAGCCTGGGTGACAAAGCAAGACCGTGTCTCAAAAAAAAAAAAAAAAAAAAAAAAGGATGGATAGACTATATAATTACCATGGGGACATGGTAGGATGTAATGTAAGAGAATGAAAATTTATGCATATTATAAGTAGTGCATAAAAGGAA